CACACACACACACACACACACACACACACACACACACACGTTACTACCAAACTCAGCAGTACAGACACGTCGTCTGTGCCAGGAAGGCGAGGATAACGAGGCTGTTAACAATACTTATAAGCATTCCTTGTTTTATACCGCACAATAACGCGGTGTGGTCATGTGACCTGAAGGTTGCTGAAGGTCAAGTGTTCTTTTCCTCCATCTCAAAATCCCTCAAACAAGTTTCTCGCTCATGCTTCGTCAGTATAAAACTCCCGTTAGCAGAAAAGATAGGATCCAGTGGTTGTGCACTTTGCATTTCACATGCTGGTTTACACCGACTGGCTTCAGTGTATTTATCATGAGAAGAACTACATAACCTGTCCTCTTTTAGGCTCTTTTTTTGGCTCATGGCTTAAGAAAGGGGCCAAAACTCTGGATTTCTCAGCCTCGTATGTTCTTAATTTGACGTTTACTTTGGAAATGAAGCACTTCGGCAAGGACTAAAGGTGCTGTGCACAGCAGTTTGTCACTAACTGGACTGCTCAGTGGCCAGGTACCAAATTATCCAATTATGTGTCTGTAAGGTAGCCGGTTGCTGTATTACAATAAGACAACTGCTTGGTACCACTGAATCTTATTGTGAGTTTATGCAAGTATAATTTATAATCTTATTAAGACATTGTACATAAATAAAGCTTACAATAACCTGCACAGTCAGTTCAGTTTATCCATCCAGCCATTTGTTTCCACTTACCTATTCTGGGCTGCAGGGTGACTGGACCCTGTCCAGTCTGTTATAGGGCAAGAGGAAGGGTACACCTAACCTCAATACAGAGTATGAAAAAGTAACAATAATAATAATGATGATGATCAACAAAATACTTTTCTCAAGTTACTTGCAAATGCTCAACATCAGTGCTTTAACTGACTTGCAGGCAGTTAGACTGTGAATAGGAACTCTCTGAGAAATACCTGCCAGCCAAGTGGAAGTATTTTCTTTGTTTTAAATTAGAAATAATCTAATTCACTTCTCAGATGACCACAGTGCCAAAACTCCTGAAGCACTTAAACTAAACTTATGCATTTAAAGCACAGAACCAGGACTATTATATTGCACTGAAGTAAAATGATATTGAGTTACTTATTGCAACTCCACTAATGGCGGACACAAGACCGACTTCAGCTGAGTCAATTTGATTTCCTCACCACTCAGCCCTCTGCAGTACTGTATATACTAAATTAGTGTGGGAGTCGCATCAGTGATGAACCACACCCTAAAGGGACATTGGGGAGGTGGGCTAGTGTGTATGTGCCAGAGTGTTTATATTTGCTCAAAGCCCCTCAGCTGAGCTCGCCTTACCGCTTCAGCCTGGCTGAATGTATCTTTGCTCTTGACCAAAATAACCCAAGAGATCAACTTCAGCCGCTGACAACTTCTCATTACAGGAAAAGTCTAAGAGGAAAATGGCACAGTTTGGTTGGCTCTAGGTATGCGCGTGCATGTCCAATGGAAAGGTTGTCATTGGAGACCCCGCTGGGTCATATTTCTGCAGAGGAATTATGGGTAATTCTTCTCCAAATTCAACTGCAGTTTTTTAATGGAAACAGCTTCTCTCTATACGTCACAGCTGACCTAATACATACTGAGCTCTTTCTTTCTCTCACAGTCCATTTAAGTCCATATATTCTGCACATACAGATGCATACATACTGCACAGATTAAGCCACATTGTTGTAGGAAGTACAGCACACAATCACTCACACACTTGTCCTCTGTGTCCAGTTTGCAGAGAAGTTTGCAGAATATAAAGAAGCAGCAAGACTCGCTAAGGAGAAGAGTCAAGAAAAGATGGACATGGCCACATCTCCTTCTCAGGTATGTTCAGTATGCCCTAACTTAATCACAACACCACCACCACAGTACTCTTACACAACTACTCATGACTACTGTCATAGTCATGTTGAGTAATAAACAGTTATAAGCAGGAAAAACAATAATTTTACCTTAAATTATATTTTACCAATTTTTATCTGCAAAAAACCAAAAAAAACCCTAAAAATAAATAAAAACAAACAAGCAACACCTCTCCCCCAAAACTTACATATAAATGCCCTGGTAGTCTGTTGTCGGTTCCTAGACAGATGTAGCTAAAATTACATTTCCTATTGGTTTATGGACTCCAGTTTTGAAGCATTATGGTTCTGGCCATTTTAATTTGTTGTCACCACATGTCACGGGTGAGGGTGGATTTGAATGAGAAACAAAAGGGCACTTCACAGCTAAAGTATCCATGCCCCCGATGAACTTTAAGTTGAAGTTTATTTATATAGCAACAAATCACAACAACAGTTGCTTCAAGGCTCTTTATACCGCAGGGTAAAGACCCTACAGTATTATGGAGAAAACACTAACAATCAGACGATTCTCTGTGAGCAAGTGCTAGGCAACAGTGGGAAGGAAAAAAAATCACCTTTAACAGGAAGAAACCTCGAGTGGAACCAGACTCATGGAGGGGTATCCATCTACCATGACTAGATGGAGGAAAAAGAAGAGACAAAGGAAGGCATATGGAGACAGGACAAACCACTCACTGTGGGAATAAGAAGACTCTTATTGTCTATTTTTTCTCTAAATGCTATCTTAATTAGAAAATTAAGCTAATGCTATATTTAAAAAGTCATTATACCAGCAACCGATCCCATGAACTCATCAGAAAAATATTTACCTGGATATAGAAGCAGGTTTATTTCCGCCAAAGTAGAATTAATTTTGCAGCCAAAAGAGTCGCCCTCTGCTGGCCATTAGAATGGTCGCAGGTCAATGTATTGGCTTCAGTTTTCTGACCCACCAGTAACATCCATATTTTATATATAGTGTGTGGGCATAAGCTAAAAGTGTGGTACATATTTTTTCTACATGTATCCGTGCCATAGATTACAAAAAAACTGTGCTCATTGTGGCGAAAAATTAGCCTGTATGCTAGCCTTTAGTTTGTGGAGGAAATGATAATAATAATAGTAATAACAGAGTGTTTTAGAGTATTTGTAACTGTGCCAAAATCTGTTAACCGGCTTCATGTTTTTTCCTTATGGAGGCTAGGGGAGCAGCCTTCTGCTGTACTGCAGCCTACTATATGTGCGAGGAAGTCTTTTAATGAAGCCAGGAGAATAGCTGCTCCCTCACCTGGGGTTGAAGGCTGCACTTGCAGCTCTCAGCACCACTTGCAGCTAGAGGCTGCAAAGCTCTACACCAGGGTCCCTGCTGAAAGGTGGTGTTTTACCCACATGTCTGCTGGCTTTTTATTCTGACCTCTAGATCCTCTCCTTTACCTCGTCTAAATGAGGTAAAATAAAAATGAATCATGAGACACAAATTATTCTACTGAAACAAGCCGAGAATAGAGCTAACTGCTATATGCTGGTCCCAATAGGCCGAATCTCAGTGGAAATGCATCCTGAACAGATATTAAATCATATACTAATGAATGCGGAGCACAAAATGTAAAACCAGGCGTAATCTTGCTCTTATCTCTCACTTCCTTCTTGCCCATTAGAGGCGTACAGGCAGCGTCATTGTGTTACTGTATTGTGCCCAAGCCCTGAGTCTTAATAGCTTTGTTTTATGTAAGTGTGGCAGCCAAATCGTTTGTCTCTTGTATAATCCTGGGGTTGTATGGGATATAAAGATAAGAATTAATCTGTAATTCTCTAATTTCCCTGTGCTATAGACTGCTAATTTAATGTCCTGTAGGAATGTCAAAAATGTTTGTGGCACAGTAGTGAGAGCTTTGACAGTGAGAGAGCGCCTCCTGTTTTCAAAATTTCATTGCTTTGTTTTTAAATCTTGTCGTCATTTTATAATATCACAGACATTATTATCTTTTTATATGATTTTAGTAATATAAGCTTTATATCGGGTACTGTGCTAAAGTCTGATTTCTTTGAAGTTCAGTCTTTCTTTGGACATTGGCTGCTTTTTCACTGACCAATTCCAGAGGAATGCATTTTTGATTGCTAAACACTTTACACTGATGTACAACAGTGAGCGTCTGCAGCCATCTGTAAAACATGGAGGAGGCTCTGTCATGCCTTGGAACTGCATTTCATCCAATTGAGTTGGAGATTTTGTTAAAAATTATGGCACTTTGAACACAGCAGGTACCGATCCACCATGCAGTACCATCTGGAAAGCATCTGATTGTTAACAGCTTCATTTTTCAGCATGAGAATATAAAACTATGAGTCTCCCCAGCCCGCAGACATCAAAATTACTGAAGCAGTGTGGGATCGCTTTAAATTTTCTTTTAACTTTGACTTTCAAGCTTGTTAGAATTTTACAAACTCATAAATGAATGAGGGGTGGCTTAAGACCTTTGCACAGTACTGTGCATTAGCTATAGTTTATTTGAATGTGTGGAAAGGAGCTGAAACAATTAACTGTTTAAATAATTATCGAAAGAAATGTAATCAAGTTTTTAAAAAATTTTTAAATAAATTTTTTTTCGGTTATAACTTGTTAGTATGAAAAAAAACAAGACGTCTTATCTTACGGTGCTTAAAATTAGAGGAATAAATGAGTTGTTTTATTGGGAAAAATACTGGATGGGTTACAAGCTCATGATAACTATCTATTACCCAGTTTTCTTAAACACCTAATGCTATTTGTCTTGAAAATTCAGCCACTGTTTGCATGTTCTGCTTGATTATTATGTTTAACTGATAGTAAAAGCTGAATCACCGTGTCCACATGCAGGAGTCTCCGGCAGGTGAGCTCTCATCACCTTTGACCCCGGTGACTCCGCCCATGGAAAACATCAACGGCACAGATGAAATCTGTGACACGACTCCCAACTCAGACGCCCGTCCCGAGCCGGCGCAGAACGCTCTGGCCTTTGCACACAGGTACAGCCCACATTATGATGTGTGACTTTAACGCAGTCGTAACCACGTGAGCATGCAACTGCTGTCACAGTCATATCTAACACAAACAATGCTAAAACAACAAAATTAATATGATTGGTGGTTTGTCTGCTGTTTGTCTGAGGCACAGACGTGTAGCCTGCACCTCCTTTCTTTATGCGTGTTCACCTTTATATGTTGCATGTCAGCATGGTCGTGAACGCCTTCTATTCACCGCTACTCTCTCATGTTTTTCCTCTCTAGGGAGCAGTTTAAGACTTGTCGGGTCTGCTCTTTCTGATAGGGATGTCAGTTCAAGTCCTGACTACTGCGACACCATAACTACGCAAAACAAACAAACGAACAGGAAAAAAAATGTTCAGGATCAAAGCTTTCAAAAATTAAGAGCCCGATTGCAGATCAGCAACAGGGAGGGTGCTCTTTCCAAAAACCTGATGCACTGCCTGTTTAGCAACTTTTAAAAAGTAAGGTTAAACCAGCACGCCAAAACTCCAGTAAGAATGAATGCGGTGATATGGGCGCAAGAGTTCTTCTTGAATTATGATCAGTGATATTTACACACTGGACCAGCAAACGATGTAACTTTGAGTGTTTCTCAGGTCTGAGAAATAATTTCACTTATTCATTTTTGTTCAGTCTGAGCATGCTCGGTGAGAAAAGCACATTTCTAATTTTGTGTATGCTACTGCGATGCAATAACATCATGTCAAATTCAAATCTCTTGACTGAGTAGGTGTTGGTGTCACCTCTATGCATGCACCAGTACTGTTGTGTACATTCCTCTGAAATGGATAACTCATGTTGCTTGTGATTGTTAATCCTGGTTCATATGCACCAGACTGTGTAAGATTCAGAGGTTAAAGAGTTGTGTAAATATTTTTGTTGTGTACAATGGCTTTCTGAAAAGGTGCGGTTGTGCGAGGCTCATCGCCAAAAAGTTGTCGATGAAGCATTTATGTAAGACTTATATAACACACTGTGGGTAGTGGGAGGCAGAGAGAGTGCAAGACAGACAGACAGAGACAGAGAGTATGTGTCAGAAACTGGGAATAGCGAGAACGACAGAGAGGGAGAGGTGCTTGTATAAAGTCTGTACATGAGTCACTCATACCTAAACAGCACAGCACCAACTGCACACACACTCTCAGCACAATAAATAAACTGAACAGACGGGAATGGGCAATCAGTTTGAGTTGTTCAACTGAGTGTTTTTCTTTTTTTCTGAGGAGAGGAAATGTTATCCAATGTCACTTGTAGTCCACTGTACACACGGGTCTTTTTATTTGTAAAACCTCTGTAACTTGTGCCACTTTGGTTATTTCTCTGGCTGCGATTCTTATTAATTAAAGATATCAATCAATATCAATCGCTTAATGTATTATCATTCTTTTGTTTTTTTCATTTGTTTAAATACTGGCGTATGACTGGAGAAGCTTTTTTAATATTTTAAACATACATTTTGAGATCTTGAATAGACTTAGAATACTTATTAAGAACTTATTAATGAGGGAAAGTCTGTGAAGTGTATGCTCACAAAATCCTGCCACCGCACGATGATGTCTGTGAAGCTTCACGGATCTGTGAAGTGAGAGCGGGATGTAGAGAGGACACCCACTGCCTGCTGCAGCCTTGCTGCTCATGTGTCTATTAATGCTGCATGCGTGGGAGATGGGGTCGACTCTCTGCATTCGCGATGGCAAGTTGTGGACGTAACAAGCGAGCCTCTGTCTCACGTGTTCTCAGAGGCATATGCAGTGAGGGTAGAAGCAAGAGCCATCCAAATATTTTACCACGTAACCCTTCATTTTTCTGTCTCTCGATGATTCACACTTTGCCAGTCTTATATCATCGGACTGTTCCGCGAACCGATGTGAAAATGTGTTTTTTGACAGCTGGTTGATAGCAAAAAAGAGAAGGGACAAAAAAGGAATACAGTGTTTTTTACTGTATTTTATGTGCTTACTTCTATGCTATTTGTGGAGACTCAGGTGTCAGTGTACAAAAGGAGTGGAGACCTCTGTGATGGCTTGACTCTTGGCTGTATATCTGTTGATGACGATGCTGATGATCATAGTGTATATGTGTAAGTACCGCACTGTTGCTTAGCGGGGCTGTGTAGGCAGGCATGTGTGGGAGCAGAGGGCAGAGGGAGGAGGGATGAAAGAAAGCAGGTCCACGAGAGAGTTTTTATATCTGGACGTGAGCGTGGCTTGGCAGGTCTGCACCGGACTCGCTTTGAATGGTTTTCTGAATATTGTAAGACCTTTTTCGTTGGACTGCTGGGGCTGTGTGTGAATGGTGCTCTAATGTCGGAGGATGTAGGCGTTTGTCAGTGGGTTTGCGGTAGGCTTGCATGAAAGGAGACCGTGCCAGTGTCTCCATTCCACTTGTGCTGCCATGGCAACTGCTCAGCCTCCCCGCTTCTTGAAGGGCTGTGCGAGGAGAAAGAACCTACCTGGCAACCAGCAGTGGTCAGGACGCGCCAGAAACATAAGAGAGCTGCAGAAATAAGTTTACGCTTTGTGTTCGGTATCTTTATTGAGATGATGCTCGACATTGTGAAGCAGCAAAGCAAAAAACAGAGTGTTGAGGCTCATGATGTATTGGCAGTGTATACAGATTATCTTCAAAACACAAAAAACATTCAGAATTTTGCTTGAAAAATAACATTTAATAAAAACATTTAATTGGTAAAATAAAAATGTGAATCTGAGACTGGATTAAATCTGCTTCTTTAATGGCTGCCTTAATGATACATATCATTACAAAGAATAAAAGAGTTAATTCCATCGTATTTACAATTTCAAACTGATACAAACAGGAAATAATTTTTTTTTTAACATCACATTCATTTTTACATTTTAAAAGCACCAAAAATCAAGAGACACCAACTGAAAAACATCTATTTCTATTAACATTTCTGACATGTAAATGATAGTAGTTCAGTGGCACAGCAGTATTAAACTTACCCTCATTGTGTCTCACACACACTTTCCTCTCTGCCCTGCCATCCTCAGCCAGAACAGTGCTCAGGTGCCCCCCTGAAACCTCTGAGCCAGACTCGTTTAATGAAGACGAACACCAGTGTCAAAACATCTTGCACTCTCCAGTTCTCCCTTTGTCGCTCTCCCTCGCTGTCTCCGTCTGTCTCCGTCTTCACATCTTGACGTCTTGCCTGCACTCTGGCTCTCCGAGCTGGTGCAGCGTGGGGTTTATACATTGGCGGGGAGGCATGCCTTGGTGACAGCTCTGCTCCATCTGTGTATGAGCATGTGTGTGTGTGTGTAGTTGGGGGGTTGGGGTTGTGTGTCTGGTAATATGTGCATGTGTAGGATGAGGTGTCGTCTCCCTCCTATGCGTCACACATGCAGACACACTTGCGCTCACGGAGGGGGTGGCTGTTGTGTAAGAAGTGAAGGCGCCGTGGGAGTCCTGAGTGAATTCTTTCTGGGCTTTCTCGCTTTTACTCTTCGCAGAGTGGGTGTTACGGAAAAGTGGAGTGCTGCTGCAGTGTGTGAGCATATACGGTGGGCTATACAGTTTGTGTGTGTGTGTGTGTGTGTGTCAATGAGGGGGTGGAACAAAACAGAACTGAAAACATTGTTATGGATCATACAGACCCTCATCACCCCTTGAGCGAGCTAAGCTTCCTTTTGTGTTTGCACCAGTGTGAAAAATTACAGTGAAGCATGTGTGGGAGTAGGAGTTCCTTTTTCAGGGATACTTGACTTGATGCAGGTGCTCGACAGAGTTTAGATCTAATGGCGCCAAAGTCAGACATTATGTGAGAGACAGGGAATAGATGTTACATAAATCTAGAGATACTGTATGCAGTGTACAGATCTAACAGGAGAGCACATAAGAAACATTTCCCTCCCTAAAGTTGTACTTACTAATACACTAGGAGCTAGATTTTCTTGTGTGTGTGTTTTTGAGCAGTTTGCTCACCAGGCTTTCTGAAGGTGTTTCAAAGTTTTTTCTTTGGACATTTCCAGTCCAGTTCTTATACCTCAGGGTTTTTGAGCAAAGAAAGCCACCTTATCCAAAGAATGAGTTGTTGTGTCAATGCATAACAGAAGCAATTTCAAATTGTATCTTTAGGCACTTTGTTACTAGCACCCAGTCGCAAAAACACATAATATGTTTCCATATATGTAGTAAAATCTATGACAGATGCCAAAAATCACACAGTTTGGTTAAACGCAGAGCTGTTTAACCAAAACCTTAGAATAACTTGGGATGTTGAGAAGCACCTTTGGGAAACCAGGACAAATGGAGAACAAAAGAAGTAACAGGCCTAAACAAAAAGTATCTACAGAACATTATCTGTGTCTGAAAGTCATGTTCGAAAGTAATATGAAAAGAAAAAAAAGTCCAGAAGAAATCTGACACAGGCCTGACTGTTTACTGAAGCCTCATCAGAAATGGTCTCAGTGGAAGATCAGGAAAGACTGAGGTACACTCAAAAAAATAATTCATTGGATGAACAGAATTTTATCTCGCCCCTTATATTCCATCTAAACAAATGGAAATCGTTTTATATTGATCCATCTTGATTGTGTTGTTTCAACACGATATATGTTTGTAAGTGTAACATAATATTAACATTAACATTCAATTAATTTGAATTTTATTCAATCGACATGTTTGTGCCAAGTTAGTCTAATTAAATTAATTTAAATTCACGTTATATTGTTTAAACACTTCAGCACATCAAAAGTCAGTCTTGTTACATGAACTAGTAAAATATTTGTTACACTTCTGTTAATCTTGTTCAATGAGCAAATGTAACTTATGTCTATAGCACATGTTGTGTTCATATTAGATAATGTTCAACAAAAAATTCACCGGATTTACAACAACTTCCAATCTATCCATCCTCGTATCTTTATCTGGGCTGCAGAGGGCATAACCCTGAAGTGATAGGGTACATCCTGGACAGGTCACCAGTCTATCACATAGAGACAAACAACCATTTGCAGTCACATTAACACCTTTGGGTAATTTAGTATCATCAGTTACCCTAACCCTAATAACTGCATGACTTTTAACTGTAGAAGAAACCAGAGTACCAGAGAACCCATTGCAAACTTGACCAGATTGTGGATTTGAACGCAGGACCTTCGTGCTCTGAAGCAACAGCGCTAACACCATGCCCTTGAGCTGTCAATCCAGACATAACAAAAGTATGAAAGTTATGCTTGATGCAGAATTTTCTTTATGTTTTTGTCCTTGACAGGTTAAACCACAATAAATAGCAACAGCATTTATGTTGCCGTGGTTGTCTGCCTCTTATAACCCCAGTGATTTTCCTGTGGTTTGAAATCTCATGTGATCTTGTGAATTTTGTGAGTGCAGGCAACTAACCACACTTCCTAGATTGTATCATGTCATCTGAACAAGAACAAATTAAGTTGCAGATCCAACATGATTTGATTGCGTTCACCATAGAAACTTGACAATATTTTGTTCAAATAACATGTGAACTTGTAAATGTAACCACCCAATTTCCGTTTTTTTGAGTGTATGACAAGTTACACAAGAACTGGACTGAAAATCAGTGGCTGCAGATCTTGTGCAGTGATGAATCTAAATTTTAAAAATTTGATTCAAATTATCTTCAGTATGCACGGAGGAAGTCAGGAGACGTACAACAGTGAGTGTCTACAATCATCTGTAAAACATGGTGGAAGCTCTGCCATTAGGCTGCATTTCAGCCAGTGATGTTGGAGAACTTGATGAAATTCATTGGAATGACAAAGGATTTGAATCTTTTACATAATACGATACCCTTTTTAATGCATTAAAAACTTAGCTGACAGCAAAAAACCCAAACAAACAGTGGAACAGTATCAGATTGGCCTCCTCAGTGCCCAGACCTCAACATCACTGAAGCAGTGTGGGATCATCTGAGAACAGAGAATTAAACATAAGGCAGCCAGCATGCAAAGAAGAGCTTTGAATATCTTTCCCGAAATCTGAAGAAATATTCCTGAAGACTACTTAATGAAATGTCCCGACAGTTTGCCTGAGAGAGTTCAGGCTATGTTAAAGAATTAATATGTTTCATAACAAATATTGACTTTCAGGCTTTTTAGAATTGTACAAACTCTGCACCTATTTTCTATTTTGTTTGCTTGTATAATTACTGTTGGTACATATTTAAACAGTATATTGTTCATCATTTATTATATATATATATAATATATATTAAGATATATACTATACAACTCTGAACCTATAAATGAAAAGGACAAAAATAATTTTTTTTTGTAGGCGCATGAAAATCAGTCACATTCAATCACTTCGTCATCTACTCTGTGAGTAGCTGGACCAGATTAGGCTCCAGCCAGTCTAAAGGATATAATCTCAGATTATAGCTCATCTGTCAGACAGCTGCTTTCACAACTACGGCCCGTGAAGTGCTGACCTCCAGCCTGAGTGCCCACTGCAGTCGTTGTTCCCTGTTATCTCATGTTCGTGTATTTAGGAATATTCTTTCTAAAAGGTATTATTTATATTTTATACTGTGACATACAGTTTCATGGTCACGTGAACACAAAACAAATCCTACTGATCATTTTCATTAGTTAAATTATATCCCTCTGTTGTGTTAACAGTAACAAATTTTATAGAATAACTCAAATTATTTGGGAAAATTACCATGCACATGCATTCCTTTACACCCAATCGTGTTTCTATCAATTCAGAGCACTGAGTTACATTTCTAACCCTAACCAGAGCTACTACATTCCTAATCCTAATCTTAATCTTAACCCTTAGTCGGACTTTAAACCAAATCTTCAGGCTAAAATCTGTGGGCCTGCTCTTTGCCCCGAAAGGGTCCTTAAAATGTGAACATTTGTCGCTCTCCTCCAACTTTCAGGAAAATTGGCCTGGAAGTTTTTGTGTAATCTTGTTTACACACAAACAGACAAATAAAACAACGTAACCTTCTTGGTAAACTGAAGTAATCGTGCTCAGCTCAGTGAGGCCCAATAAAAGTACAGATTACAATGAGAGATGCAAACCTTATTAGATGTACAATGAAATGATCTAACACAATAGAAAATGAATAACTATGAACTATGAAGTATTTTTTAATAATAATTTGCATTATTGTTCGATGGATTGATGGATTTTCACCATGCATTATCATGGAAACACGAGCACTCATCATCACTGTTGGTGAACTGACAGCATGCGTTTCCTTGTGTTCTGCAGCCCGGCCATGACAAAACACTGGGAAGCTGAGCTGGAGGCACTAAAGGGGAACAATGCCAAGCTAACGGCAGCTCTGCTGGAGTCCACTGCCAACGTCAAACAGTGGAAACAGCAACTGGCCGCCTACCAGGAAGAGGCAGAGAGACTACACAAACGGGTGAGCGAGGAATGGGGGGGCCACAGGGATGCTTGTTTGTTTTCATGTGTGATTAAATCATTTCAATTTGAAAAGGGGTGATCATTTGGTGGGGGTGCTCTGAAGTTGGGATGAGAGGGAAAAAGAATAAAAGAGAGTTGAGTGTAAGCATGCGGGAGAGTAAAGGGAAGAGGTCGTCTGGGAATGAGACAGAGAGCCTGTTTCTGTTACACCGGTTCCTCTCTGGATCTGAATAATGATGTCCACAATTTATTCTTGCAGGTGACTGAACTTGAATGCCAGAGCAACCAAACCCCAGTGATTAAATCCCAGAAGACTGAGCTCAACCAAACCATAGAAGAACTAGAGACTGCACTAAGGGATAAAGAAGAGGTGTGTGTCTGTGTGATTTTTCCCTAAAATGAAAAGGCTCATGCACGTTAAATTTAATTTACACAGCACTTTACTTTTTTTCTTACACCCCCCAGGAAATGGAAAAGTTGAAAGAAGAACTGGAAAACATGAATGACCTGATGGAGCAGAAAGACACACTCACCCAGAAACTCGAGGTGAGTCAAAAGAGTGGGACGGTCTTTATCCTCTATCCTCCAAAAAATTGCCCCACCTTAATGCACTAACATGCCAACATCATCTCACTGTGCGCAGGAGACGGAGCTGCGCGGCCGTGTGCTCGAGGAGCAGCTGTCGGGTGCCGAGCAGAGGCTGGAAGAGAACCAGGAGGAGCAGGAGAACTTTAGGAAGAGCCTGCGGACGCTGCTGGAGCTGCTGGACGGCAAGATCTTTGAGCTGACGGAGCTCAGAGACACCTTGGCTCGGCTCATAGAGGAGGCCAGCTAGAAGACAAAGTTACCTAAACTTCACAGACAGAGCCATATGACAACTTACTCTGACACCTACCCACTATGCTCCCTTTTCCCCTCTACAACCCACACAGATTAAAATGAGACACTGCCCACATTCATATTTCAGTCAAAAAGGGCAGCTGTTCCCCTGTTTTTTTTACCTTGCAGGCATCCAGTTCCTACCAACCGCAGGCGCTCCTGCGGCTCGCGACGATGCAGGGTCTACCTCAGCTTGCCTTCTGATGGGCTGGTGTAGGCATAACCTCGGCTGAACTGGTAGTTCCTGCCCCCCCCCAACCTACCCCCTCACACACACACACCCACCCACCCACACACACACACACCCTTTCGCAAAGAGTTAACTTGAGAACTGTGCCTCAGTGCCATCTACTGTTTGACTGGGAGAGCTGCACCACAGCTTGCAGCATCACACCACACCGTCACCCCCCTCCCCCTGCTTCCACTCTAAACTGCACCCCCACCCCCACCCCCCCCCCCCGGAGGGGAGCGTTGAAAGTCATGTGGAAATAATTGCTGTTAAGACTCAGAGAACTGCGCCAAAGCTGCCAAATCCCCCCGAATATATTGTCCTCTAACTAGCAGATGCTTTGATCCAAAGTGACTTACTGTACAGACGAGAACTGAACGGAGAAGCCCCATGTTTGAGCTCGGGCTGCCAGAAGAGAATTAAAGGATAACTCTCAATACAACAAATCAGTCAGTGTTACCTATTTGTCTGGAGTAACATCACAGCTGCCCCCTCCCCACACCCCAAATCCCAACCTGGGAAAAATATAGTTCGGTTTACTTCCGTGTCCGCAGCCAGTTTAAATTCCTATATGATAGACGACTACTAAATCTTCCAGAGGCGTTGTTCATGCCACACAGAAAGTTTCGGGTGTGTGTGCCCACGTTATATTCAACATGAAGGATTGCTGCATCCGGACTGCTTCCACCATCACAGACCTGTCTTCCTGCCAAACTCAGTGTGGTGTGTGTTTCTGAACAAGGCCTGACATAATGTGTGCCTTCAAGCACACATGAGTGGAGAAGTGTTTGTATATAATATGTGTGTGTGTTTGTGTGTGTGTGTGTGCGTGTGTGCAGCGAAACATTGTGGACAATAAGGCCGCCGACACTTAACACACACACACACACTCTCACACTGAGCAATACCAGACAGGCTCTTTTCAACACCTTCTATCCGACTCTATCAGGTACTTTACTCAGTGGACTCATGCAGATATAGGTCAAATGCAACTAAGCTGGTCTCCCCCTGTCCAACAGAAAGTGTACTACTTTTGACCGTAAAACTGTGTGGCAGCCCTGTCTGGTCGAAGTAGTGCATCGTGAAGGGCTTCTAGAGTGTCATCTTGGTGTTCGTAAAATCTCCACCCTCAGTGAAACTGGCCGCAGGTTTTCACTCCTCACTGGTGAATACAGAACTGCACTCAGTTTCTATTCTTTTTTTACACAGAATATAACACTGATGATATAATTATAGAAATGTACAAGACAACTTTCTACTCATGACTGCGTTTAAATTAATGGCTGGAAGACTCAAAATGCAGTAACGCCTTGGGGTGGCTTATTGTTGTGTATTAACCTATGAGTGTTCAGCCTGTAGGTTGAAAACAGCAACAACAAAAACTCTTCTGTGCATTTTAAATGTGTTAAAAACACAGTTTTACACATTCTGTACCCAAATATAGACTTACTGTATACAGCAGCATTTATGCAGGTAAAATCTAAAGCTGTACCTTAAACTGGCTTCCTTAAAATTGACTCCATTTCTAAAGTGCACCTTGTTTGTGCTTTATTTCACTGTTATAACTCCCTCTATGTAGTAGATTTGTATTAAGTAATACCACAGCAGCTTTCTGCAGGTTAATACACTGGAATAAGTCTCATGTAAAGGGAAATGTTCCTTTTTTTTTCTGGTTTAACGTTGACGGTTGAGTGACAGAGATGGAATACCTTAATATTAATGCTATTGTTAATGAATGCCTTTGTACAGTAGTGGATAAGAAGCTTTTCATTCTCCTGTTTTGTAACTTATGGTATTTAAATGTAGGTATTATTATTGTATTTAGAGGTATGAGAAGACTGGCAATATTTTTGACTATTTAAAGTAATTTTGAACTCATGATATTAAAGAGGTACCTCAGGCCAACGATGTTCATAGACTGGTGAGACTTGTGAGTTCGCAGCTGAAGGGATTTATCACATGCCGGTGACAAACGATCAGGAGACATACTTGTTGGTGCTTCAGCCAAACTACACCCCCTGTTGAATTCAAAGTCAAAGAAACACACCTCTGTGAACTAAGAAATGCTATGTTTTTTATTCAAATACAGTGACCGCGGCATTCAGTGTGTGCAAAGTGTTTGGGCTCTGTTTTTTTTTTTTAAATCAAAAATATTCAGTAGACAATCTCAGAATTTGCTTCACAAGGTTTTATTCAAATGCAAGGGCAAAATTGTAAATTAAAAAAGAAAACAAAACATCAGAATAAATGAGAATGCTAGGAAAAGGCAAACAGGTATTCTTGGAACAGTTTGTTTAGTAAGTCCACTGTTTTAGGCAATCAATCTAAACTCATTGTCACCAGTGAAGAGGCTTCGTTCCTTTTCTCATATTTCGTTATTTTGATATTGCACTTCTCAAGTGACTGACAGGTATTCAGACAAAGGATCATATAGTCAGCCTGTCGATTACAGGTCTTTATAGGAAGCAAATGCATCAGAAAAAAAGATTTGGCTGGAAACACGTTGGAAATAAAAACAGGACACAAAGTAAGAAATGAAGTGCAAAAATACAGCTGTGTCGAGGTTATTTATAGATAAAGGTAAGTGCACATGACAGTCAGGTCAGTCAGGTAAGAAACAGCCGGTTCACAGGTGTGAGCCCGCTTTCCCAAAAGTTTTTAACACACTGCTGACCACAGATAAGAGAAGCAACATAACTCTTAGCACTAACATTGGAGAAACTTTGTCCTGGTCAGTTATAGTGAAGTCGTGTAAGGTCTGAGTTAGTCTTAGGCTAAAGTCGGGTCAGTGTCTGTTTCATGCTACATGATGAGGGTACCATGGAAGATTGTTGCGCCTCAGACTGGCTCTGCCAGGAAAAAAACAGAAACCATCTTAAGCACCGAGCTACTTTCAAGCTGTGACATATACACCCGTGCCTGTTCTTTCTGCCTTGTGATTAATCTGTGAATGGCTCCCAACACAAGCTTAAGAGAAAAAGCTCACTATTTTTTATAATTATTATTCATTTATTTATTTATTTTTTGCATTAAAGCTGTTTAAGACAGTGCATGCTGAAGCTCTTCCAAGCTCAGAGCCACACTTGTCAATCCACGTCTTTGTGCTATGTTTATGCAGATTCTTGTACTGTCTTTCCAAAAAAATTCAGGACTGAGTTTGTTCAGTGCTTTTAAACTTACTTAGCTTCTAAATATATATTTTCCCCCAGTGGTTAAAGCATAATAATTGTTCCTGTACAGATAAAGTGATTTAGAATTTGTACTATGTATCATCAAAGTGCTCACACCATTTTCTGTCACTGAAACGATTTTGCACATGTTGGCTGTGAATTTAGAGTGTGAGTCCATGTGTGCATATCTTCACTTCCAGCACTGTGAGTAACAGGCCTCCTACTGTGTTCTCCTGCCCACCGAGTGCAGGGAGAGAAATTTGGAAAAATGCAATAAAGAGGAGGAGAGAAAGTGGAGAAGATGGCAGGAGAAACCGCATCAATCACAACCGACTGCTCCACGGCCCACATTGACTCCCCACAGCGCAGAGAGAATCTAGTCTCCTACGTACCATCCATCACTCAAACAAGCATGACCAGTTCCACTCCTCCACCGTGACTATGCCTTATATGAAGTTTGGGAATCACCAACTGAATCTACCCACGAGCACCACTGACACTAACCTTGACCTCCACCTCACCAAACAAACTTCAGTGACTCCTCGTCCAATCCTCTCTAACCGTAGGTGTCCAGCTTCAGATTAGAGATGCTGTTAGATGTGACAAATAATGATAAACCTTACTGCACCCTCTATTTCTTCCACCCGCCCAGCCATATGCTGCGGTCGAACAGATGGGTCGATAAATATTTGCTCACTCAGAGAGGCTGTGAGAGTCGGGGGTGGTGAGGGCCAGAAGAGGACAAGAGAAAGGGGGAGGGGCGCAAATCTGGTGCCACAGAGGCAAGGATTTAAAGATGAGCACTGGTCCTTTTATTGTAGGACACGCCCATGCCCACGTGATGGGAATGGGCCAAAACCAGATGGGCAACATAGTGAGGGGGCAGCTTGATGAAAAATATCAGATGCTGTAATGATTTACAATCTGGACACTAAATCCAGTGATCCCAGTTTGAACGTGTAAACTATTCATCGCTCAGTCTCCCAAAAACTTCAAATTACCAGCAACGCACAACTTTTATGCTGTAGGGTGAGTGAAGAGGTCACACAGCTCATCAGCACTTTCCATATACAGTTTCACAAATAAGTGTCAGTGCAGTATGTCAGTGAGACAGTACATTTGATATAAATAAAAAAGTAAACATGGAATCGGTACAGTCTGATGATGGGAACAAAACCACAGTGACATACAGTAGTAGTAAAAACATAATCGCTAACCATCGTGATGATGTAGTGTGAAAAAGAAACTGAAAACAGATTGACCATAGACCTTTGGAGCGTTTGGTGAGTTGGTGATAATTGTTGTGACTCTCTGGCGTAGTCACTGGGTACATGTGTGGCTGGGATGTGTGTGCTTGAATGCGTGATTGACTGTTTGTGTGTGTGTGTGTGTGTGTTTACAGTACAGTACAGTGTGTGCAGTGCCAGAGGCTGAAGTCATCTGTGTTACGGGTGCAGCCCTGAACCCTAGCTTTCCCAGTCGTGGGCGGCCAAACCATCGTCGTCTGAGTCGGACTCTGGTGAGGCCTCCTTGATGCGGCGCAGCGCCTCGTGGATGCTCCTAGTCAGGGGGTCGGTGGAAGGCGGGAACTCTCCCTGGTCTTTTCTCTCTCCGCAGGGAACGCGACGAAGTTTTACCCCCTTACGAATTTGGGCTAGGATGCTGTTTGGGTCATCGTCACCCTTGGCAGGAAGCAGGGAACGCTGGTCGACCTTCCTCAAATGGAAGCTGCCTCTCTTCAGGGAGGCGAGCACCTCGTCCATGGGGGAGCTTACTGCATGTGAGCAGGGGAGAAAAACACAGATTATGATTGGCTGCTGTAACTAGCTAATGTGAATACTCAATTTTTTTTGCTTATTAACAGTCCTGGTACCTTTTCTGTTGTGGACGTCAAACTCTGGGGTCTTCCGCAGCTTTTTGCGGGCGCTCACCAGTTGGCTGCTGTCAAAGAAGCGAGGGATAAACGGGCCAAGCGGGGAGAGAGTGAGCTCTTCTGATACACTCTTCCCCTCAGCCTTCTGCCCCCGCCGCCCCGGGCTCCCAGAGGGCGACAGCTCCTCCCTTGTCGGTGGTGGGGGTGGAGGGGGTGGTGGAGGAGGAGGGGAAATAGGGGATGCCAGAAATGAAGACAAGGAGCAAGGAGAGCAGGAGGAGTCTGCAGGACTGGGCACAGGCAGCGGCGGAAGCGACGCCGTGTGCGCCGTCGTGGGCTGAGTGGTGAGCGTGGAGCTGGGGCTGGGGTCCGTCTGCACGCTGGTACTTAGACACAACGGCTGGCCCTGCTTCTGCACACAAACAGAGTCCGCGCACTTCTCACTAAAGCTACTCATTTCCACGCTTCTTCCCTCTTTTCTTGTGCTGTGAGCCGTGCGTAGCCGAGTGGACTTCAGAATCACCTGACCCGGGTACCGCTAGAAAAAGACACAAAGGTGTAGGTGAGCAAAAGATAATTACATATACTGAGACACCTCCACTGAACAGGAGGGCACATACCTGTTTGAAAGTGCGTAATCTGTCCAGTGTTCTCTGCCTCTCCTGGCTTACTCTGCTGCTCTTCCTTTTCTCATCTTCCTCTTCTTCATTTTTCAGCTGGTAATTCATGAGTTTAGAAGAGGAGAGAGATGATGGAGATGCTTTAGCAGCAAAAAGTCCTATCATTAAAAAAACCTAAAACAACTTCTACCTGGGATGTGGGGTCCTTTTGGAGGATTTGGCGTCTCTGCTGTTTCTGAATGTGGTTGGAGACACAGATTTCCTATCGATACACACATCATCACCAATTTAAACAATCAATAAAAACTCACAGTCATGAACATACCATAATTATATATATGTATACACATATTTGCTTGGAGACACGTGTCTTTATAACTTGTTGTAGAGAAAATCCAAATATCTAGCACAGAAGAGCTGACCAGGATTGCAACCACAGTATTAGCAGTCACTTCTTCATTTTGAATAGGCTTTATGATCCAGGCTACACTTCAGGAATGAAAATAAAAGTGAGTAAAGCACACACACCCTCTTGTTCTTTAGATAGGAGCGTTTGGCAGTGATGCGCCCCCTCCTTGCCTCCAGCTGTCGAGCGCTGACCTGAAGTCTGCGCAGCTCTTCTCTCTCTGCACTATCGTCCTCTGTTATATCATCCGCACTTTCAAAGGTGTCATAGTACACCACTTCATCCTGACGCTCTGAAAGCACACATACACATAAATATAAACCATTAATGTACAACCAGAATTCAGAAAGTCTTACAGCAGTTAATATAGCAGAAATTCTACTTCAGGACTCTCTTTAAAACAGGATAATTAAGATCTTGCAAACAAAAAGTAGCTGCAGTAGAACCTGTCATCTGTCTACGGATGCTATCTAACTGAGCAGTGAGGAGCAGCTCTTCACACTGTAGTATCTCAGCCTGGATGTCATAGAGCTGAAGCTGAAGCTCATAGTACTTGGTCTCCATGTGGTCTAAGAGGGCCATCGCGTCCTCACTGCTACACAGACTCTGCATCTGGAAGGAATGAATGCAAAAATAGAAAATGGTCAAAAAACAAAGCATGCTTAGTAAGAGTGCCTGGCAGTTTCATTTGGTCATGAGCGTGTTACCACACCTCTTCTCGAAGTGTGTGTTTCCTCTGCTCTAGACAGATCTCCCTGGCTCTCTGGAGCTGGAGGGTTTCCTTTGCAACTGAGTAGCGCAGCCTCTCCATGCGCTCCACCGCCGCCGTCCACGAAGACTTACCAAACTTACGCTGATCCAACTTCATACGCTCGTATACACCTATCGACAACAAAACACATTGCGCAGGTGGCTGAGTGAAACGTGAGAGTGACTCATTCAGTCTCATCCTCTGGTACAGTGTGTGGGCACGTCACCACAATTTCTTTTCCCTCTATGTGATGACTAAAGTCTAACATAAAAGGAAGGCTCCTTACAA